GAGACAGACAGACAGACAGACAGACAGACAGACAGACAGACAGACAGACAGACTGACAAACAGACAGACAGAGACCGAGACAGGGACAGAGACAGAGACAGTTACAGATAGACAGACAGACACACACACACAGCCACACAGATACGGATCAAACCGTTCAGGAAACGACTTAACGTTGGTTTTATGCCTGCCTCTTTGTTTGCCTTCTTGTTCTGTAAGACTGATGCGAATGTGATGTCATATGTGAGGCAGCTTGGTGAAACCAGGCGCTCGTCAAAATCGTAAAATCGAAGAAACGCCTTTTGTTCCTGTCAGTTTGGCAATTTTTGTCGAATATTTGTTATTTGGCTCAACATCTTTTATGTCCATATAAAAACACATTTCCCAAGGGAATTTTCTAGAAAAATGTTGATTAAATGCAAAAAAAGACGTGATTTTTTAGTTTTCAAAGACTCAAGCTATTGAAGTTACTAAACTGTCGCTGCCAATTGCTCGTTAATTTTATCCATGAATCCAGACGACCCCCACCCCCTATAATAGCAAATATTTCGATTTCTTATTCTAGATAAATTGGTCTTTTTAAAATAAAAAGCAAGGCAAATGAAAAAGCTTTAGGGATGATACCATTAACTCTACAGTAGTCAAAAATTGACGACTGCCTGATTCCACCGCGTTGTGACACATGTATTATGTTACTAGCTGGGCCCCCTTTCGATGAAAGGAATGATCGGTGCATTAACATCAACTGAAAGCCATTGGCCTACTATAATTACACTCTACTGGAATGGAGCAATAAATCTTGAGAAAAAAGTGACACACGTGTTTCCAAGTTGCCAAATATATAATAGAATATAAATTGATTCTCTACTCCGCTTTCATGGTTGTACACTCCAGAATTTCAAAGGTGTGTAAGCAGCGCACGGCTAGAGAACGGAAACCTCATTTGTTTACAATGGCATCTTAGAAGACGAACTTTGTCAAAATTAGAATGCTGTGTTGACGAAACTAAGCATTTTGGAAAAATCGGGGAAAGCAGTTTGCGTGGACTTTTTAAAGTTTGGTCCTAGCCACATGGATGCTGTGGACGCCTGCAAAGTTTCAAAGGTGTGGGTTATGTAATAATGCAGGAGTTTGTGCACAAAGCCTCCCAAGTCCACTTTATAGATGACCATTATATCTTGTTGTGTTTCTGGCAGGACTGACGGGCGGGGCTGTTGTCATTGGCCTGGGCTTCCTGTTCAGTCAGCTGGGACAGACTGTGTTGCAGGTAACTTAACGTGTTGGAGACTTCATTAATTTCATTTTCGTCTGCAGTTTTGTGTTTTATTTATTGTCCTTCTCTTTATATTTTCTTTCTCTCTCAGTATCACTCACAAATACACACACCTACACACATTCTCTCTCTCTCTCTCTCTCTCACACACACACACAGAAACACATACACACACACACACACACACACACACACACACACACACACACACATACACACACACACACAAAGACAAAGCCACAAACACATATAATAATTATAGTCTCTGCCTTAGACCTCACACTTATTTTATGAGGCTGTCATTTCATTTAAATTCTAGTGCTTTTAACATAATTTACATATCTTTAAAGAAAACCACAATCAACTAGAAATATGAGTAAAGCAATCGAATGAATTAACGTGTGACCAGTTTAAACAATAAAAGACTACGAGTAGGTTTATCAGGGTACAAACTAGAAAAATGAAAATGTAATGTAGAAATGAAAAGAACTAGCTGGGCCCTCTTTCAATGAAAGGAATGATCGGTCCATTAACATCAACTGAAAGTCATTGGTAAAAAAAGAAAACATCAGGCTAGATCTATATGGGTCACACATTTAAAATAGTGCTCAGTATTGCGCGACAACGCCCGATAGTATCGAACGGAAGTACGACTTGAAATAAACAAACCTGGCGGATTTTCTAAAATTACTGAGACAGAAGCGTCGGTCTACAAAAGCGATCGGCGAAATAAAGAAATTTAGCCTTTTGCAGCAAAACTGTCTCAAAACTGAAAAAACGAAGGGGGTCATGATCTGGAGAATATTTTAAAGAATCTTTTGTCGAAAACCGCATGTCGATCGATGCAGCCATTAAAAAGACTTTTGAATAGCAACATTCGGCCACCACAAATAGATCATAGAAGAGTAAAGTAAGGTAGCAAGGAATACTCGAACGAAAAAGGAAAAAGTAAAAAAGAAAAGAAACGAGAAAGTACTCCTTACATTTGTACTAAATAATGTGGTAGCCCTCAGAGGTTAAATGAAGGGGTATACAACGTTTTAAAACTTTAAGAAATAATACATTCTTTTCAATCCTTTTCATTTCAGATTATGCTGTCTATCTTCGGCATGGTTGGAGGACCTTTATTGGGTCTCTTCATATGTGGCATATTTTTCCCTTATATCGAGGCAAAGGTAACACACAAGCAACATTTCAACCGTTATTGGGATTGATTTTTAAAACTTATTTCTGTAAATGATCACAAAGACTTAGACAGTACAGGGCGTGGACTGCTTCAGTCTTTCTGATCAGGACCAACCGGCCTGCAATGAATGAGAAACTTCGTTTCTGAAAGCATACTAAAACACTCCCTTTCGGGAATCGAACTCAAGTCTTCTGCGTGTGACGACAAGGGGCCTGACAGCAGCACTAAGGACTTTTGAGTTTAAGAAGAATGTTTGTTTGACAGCATATCCGTTGTATTATTTTGTTGTGCACAGCTCGGTGAGAGCACATTGTCTATTGATTAAATTCATCCAAACCCATTTCTCAAGCGTTTAAATTATTGTTATGAAGTTTTAAAAACATACATTTGTAAAGCAGCGCGGTGGAATCAGGCTCTCGTCAAAATAATCAAAGTGAAGAAACTCGCACTTTTCCGCAGGTTTATGAATTTTTATCAAATTTGTGGGGGGGTTTTTTGCCTCAACACCTTTCATGCCCATTAAAGAACTCATTTCTGTGTGAATTTTTCTAAAAAACTGTAAATTTTCAGTGACCACAGACTCTTAAGCTAAGGAAATAACTAATCTAATTCGGCCATTTTCTCACTAATTTCACCTCTGAAAACAGGGGACCTCTACCTCCTTCTTTCGCAAATATTTTGACATATATTCAAGATAAATGGATATTTTTTTTTCCATTCAAATAAAGACAAGTGAACAAGCTTTAAGATGATTCCAATAACTCTACATGACAAAAAATTGACGAGAGCCTGATTCCACCACGCTGCCTCACATTTCTTTTAAAACACCCGAATCAAATCCTATCTTCAAAACCATTCTTTTACGTTGCAGCCTGTGAAAGGAATAACAGAACAGACGGGAAGTGTATTGCAATATGACACTTATTTCATTTCCTGGAAACCCCTAGACATTGATTTGGACGACAGAGTAGTTATCCTGTTAATCTTTTATCATCTTCGTGTCTAATCTTATTTTATCTTAAATTTATACACTTTATCATGGATTTATTCTAACCAGTCTTACAAACTGCCACTTTTGTCTACTCTCTCTCCCCAGGGTGCGCTGTGGGGATTTCTCACCAGCTCTTTCATCTCCTTCTGGATGGGGATTGGCGCCACTGTGGTACTTCCGGTGCCGGAAGTGTCCGGGGTCTCTCTCTCCTCCTGCAGGAACCGCGACATTCTGGACATGAAGTGTCGGTTTGGCAATGTGACAGACGAGTTTTTGGCGGGTTTAATGAATGCTACAACAACTACGACGGCCGCTGCTGGCGTTACTATGACGACAACGACAACAACAACGATGCAGGGAAATACGTCGTCTCATCCCGAGCCGGAGTACAATGGCACTGACTTGTGAGTTTGTGGTGAGATTTCACCCTTTCCGCGTTGAGGTGGTTGGATTTACGTTTGAACTGACAAAATGAACTGTTAATTTTAGAGAGATGTAATTAAAAAAGCCGTAATACCTTTGGCCCTAATATCAATAACCAACTGCACAAATTGCAATTACGTCTTTTAGAACGATTTCCACACACCAGTAGAAAAAAGGCAAAAGAACGAGTTTGAGAGATCACATACATATATACATGCACAGCAGTGAAGTGTTTAGATATCTCATGGGTTCTTTGTCACTGGTGTCTGTGGTGTAGCGATTAGGTGCTCGTAGTCGCAAACATAAGGTCCAAAGTCGATTTCACAGTGGGGGATATTTTTCGAGTATCTCTGTCTTTCTACTCGGATGCTGTATCCCTCTCAGTTCAGATTGCCCCTGACAGGCTGGGTCGAAGCCCACCTATCTAAATTGCGGCCCCAGGGCCTTAATAATCTAAGAAAAGAAATGAATTAATCAAAACAAAGACATCGTCGTGATTTCCAATCTACTCCCCCCCCCCCCCCCTGTCACTTTTCTCACTTCATCTTTTATTTCCAAAAACGTATAATACTTTTGACATCGTTCTGTCTCTCTCTCTCCGTCTGTCTTTCTATCTGCTTGCCTGTCTGCCTGTCTCTGTCTGTTTGTCTGCCTGTCTGTCTGTTTGTCTCTCTGTCTCTGTCTTTGTCTCTGTCTTTCTCTCCTCTTTCTCTTTCTTTCTCTCCACCGCTCTCTCTATCTATCTATCTATCTATCTGTCTATCTATCTATCTATCCATCTATCTATCTATCTATCTATCTATCTATCTATCTATCTATCTATATATCTATCTATCTATCTATCTATCTATCTATCTATCTATCTATCTGTCTATCTATCTATCTGTCTGTCTATCTATCTGTCTATCTATCTATCTATCTATCTATCTATCTATCTATCTATCTATATATCTATCTATCTCTTTCTTAGTAAGTAAGATGTTTGATTTCGTTTTACCCTTCCCCCGTCCACAGATGGATCTACCATGTGTCGTACCTGTGGTATGCCCTGGCTGCCGTGGTGGTCCACATTGTGGCCTCACACATCATCTCTATAGGCTACAGCTGCTACAAACGTGAATTCTACTTGTATTAAATTAGTTTAAGAAGTCTAGTGGTTAGGCACGCAGACTCTCCACTGTTTGGGCGAGAATTAGAGAGGGAGAGAGAGAAAGGGAGAGAGAGAGTGGGATATATGTTTATATCTTATATATTATTTCATATATAAAGAGAGAGCGAGAGAGAGAGAGAGAGAGAGAGAGAGAGAGAGAGAGAGAGAGAAAGACAGAGAGAGAGAGAGAGAGAGAGAGAGAGAGAGAGAGAGAGAGAGAGAGAAACAGAGAGATCATAATGGTGGCAAAGATGATAATTCGTTGTAAAACCATACTTTGATCATGATAATGATAATGATGCTGATGATGATGATTATGATGATGATTATGATGATGATGATGATTATGATGATGACTATGACGATGACCATGAACAAGCAGCCATATAGTTAAAGGGAGACGACCCAGTCAAGTATCTGCAGTCTCCATTTACTTGATTGTCCACCCTACTTTGCCACATGATTCTCTATCTCAAAGAGCGCACAATGATTTTGTCAAAAACATTCCAAATATTTCTCCACACATCCCCCCTTTCCCTCTCTCTCTCTCTCTCTCTCTCTCTCTCTCTCTCTCTCTCTCTCTCTCTCTCTCTCTCTCTCTCTCTCTCTCTCTCTCTCTCATTCTCTCTCTCTCTCTCTCTCTCTCTCTCTCTCTCTCTCTCTCTCTCTCTCTCTCTCTCTCTCTCTCTCTCTCTCTCCCCCCCCCCCCTCTCTCCTCCTCCCCCTCCCCTCTCCTCCCCTCCCCCTCACCAGAACCATTCTCCTCTCCACAGGAGCTAACGGCCCAGAGGACGTGAAAGGTAACCTGATCCACTCCATGGTAGACCGGGTCTGTTGCTACTGGTCTCTGTCTTGTCAAAGGATTGACCGCACCGAGGAAAAGGAGGTGAGATGTTCCCTCTCCTTCCCTAGTTTTGGCCTTTATTTTTTCGTGATATTAGTGATACTATTCGTAATTTTACTTATTGATTTCCATTTTTGAATATGTGTTTTTAATTGTTTCTTTCCTCAATTCTTTTTTTTTATCTTTCTCGATTTGTTTGTTTGTTTTTTCTGTCTTTCTTTCTTTCTTTCTTTCTTTCTTTCTTTTTTTCTTTTTTTCTTACTTTCTGTCGGTCTGTCATTCTTTCTCTCCGTCTTTTTCCTTGGTGGGGGGGAGGGGGGGAGTGGGGGTGGTTCCGTGTGTCCCTTTTTTTCGTGCCATGATAATGATCTAATTAATTAATATAAGATATGCATTGACTAGGAGAACGTGAGTAGACTCAAGACAAGGATATTTCAACTCTGAGAATTGTTTGTGTTGAGCAAAGAGAAGCATATCGACTCCTTAGTTTATGTGAATAATTTTTTTCCCAATATTTTAAATACACATGTAATTTTGTTTACTTCGTTTGGGGCCTCCAGTGGCTAAGTGAGTAGGGAGTTTAGACTCAAGTAATGTCAAGCAAGTGTCAGTAACACGGGGATCAGATGGGTGGTCATTGGGGTGTGTCCTTGAGCAAGACACGACAACCCTGGCTCAAAATACAGGGCTCTGCACAGTGGCGACCAACAGTGGCATGGTTGTAAACTGTTCTGTATCTGTGTAATATTGTGTATTTATGTATGTATTTATGCATGTATTTATGTATGTACGTATTTATAATTATGTATTTATGTGTGTATGTTTGCCATTGTAAACCAATGTGCCCTTCTGGGACAAATAAAAGTGTAATTTATTACTCTTATTATTAATTATTATTTTATATCATTTTGTCATCGATCTTATCATCAACCAATCTAGATGTGTGTTTTCATTCGTTTATTCAATTTGCTTTATGTTATTTTTCCTTAGGAAAATTTTGAACTGCAAGAACGTCACGAGCCAGATCCCATCAGCACCATAACTAACGGGGACGACATGAGAAAGGGGCGTGGTCAGGAGGCCTACACAAATCACAGCTACGTCACAGATTACACAGACACTCCCACTACTAGGATGTGATTTTTTTAGTTTTTAAGATTCTTTTTGTCTTTCTTTTTTGTTTATTAATTATTATTATAATTATTATTATTATGATTGTTTTTATTATTGTAATTGTAATTATTATTATTATTATTTTTTAAATATTTTTTTAAAATTATCATTGTTATCATTATTATTGTTATTATGATTATGATTATGATTATTATTATCCCTATTATTTTTTTTTAATTTTGGGATAGGGGCAGTGAAAGAACATGATTTGAACAATAACAAAATGTAACACCACAATGCCTTTCTAAGAATGTAACTGACACTTCAGAATACAATTATGGTATCCACTCTGCAGCAGAACAAAAGTAATACTGCTGTACATTTCGAACTATCAAACACATTCCAAATAACACGATTTTGTATATCATTTCCATAGTATACATATAGTTGTTGCGTTGAGATTTTGGGTAAAGACAAAGAATTGAAAATACTTTTTGGAAAACAAAACAAGTTTTTAAGCTTCTTTTTTTAAAGAGTCATTAATTAAACAGCACATCTTGAAGTTGAATGTTGTTGAATAACACGACATTGGTTGAAGGTGGGGGCAGAAAGGTTGGATGTCTTTTTTTCTATCATGAACATTCAGCAGGCCCGCTGATGTTTAATATCAGGATAGGTTACACCATTGTAAATACGCAATTTTATTTTTTTTTTCATACAGAGGGAGGGATTAACTTCTTAGAATAAAGGACGGGGAATTTGTGGATTGGTTTCGAGAAAAGCCCATGAATATGGTAGCTTTCAGTTATGTGGTTAAACGAATATTATTTATTTTGCAGTCTTTATTGTATTCAAGCGATCATTTTATGTATACTTAGAATAAAACATAGCGTCTCAAAATATACATGCATATCATATTAATATGTATATCATAAATATGCATGTGCATGTATATCATAACATGCATATCGTAATAATATACGTTTATCATAAATATAAAAGTATATCATAATATGTATATCATCATAGTATTATCATGTTGTTCGTTTCTTTTGTTGTAATGTAAAAGTCATTGTTTCCATCTTGTTTAAGTATCTTGTGTAGAAAATCATATCGGAAGTGGACTGAATATTCGTCCTGTTCGTTTGTTAAACAAGACAATGCCGTCATCCTGTTCATGTACAGTAAGCCCAGAAAGTTTTTTTCCCCCTTCAGAAATGAAGAAGAACACTGTTTCCTTCTTTTAGAACTTGTACCTACACTGTGCATTTTTTCTCACTTTGATAACAGCTATAATCTGAACGTTGACTAAATATGTCTTAAGCACTTGCAGCCACTACCACAGATTATAAAACTGCAGTTTAGATAAATATTACGAAACTCTCTAGTTTAGAACACGCTAAACAGCTGGCTCACTATAATTCGTCACCTCGGAAACAACGTTCTGTCAGAAGATTTGGGCCGTTTTTGAGTTACCAAGTCCATAGGTAGTGGGTGGTTGGCGGGTGCTCTGGTGTGGTTTGCTCCTTCTTTCCTATCAAACATCTCTCGTCCTGATCTCCCCTTCTTCTTTTTGTATGTTTGTTACTCTCTTGTGACACTTCTAATCTTCTGGCGCTCATATGACCTTATGCAGTTGCGAGCGCCGTAAAACCTCTACTAAAACAAAACAAGGCCATAGGATCAAAAAGCAAATAATAAAACTAGGTTCTATCTGCTCTATCAAAATCATACGGATATTACGAGACGTTATCAAGATATTGAAAGAATGGCACTGGGAAAAGCTTGTCATAGGACAAAACTCAAAACTTTTAAGGTCACGTTTCTAAAAACTAGGTACTAGGCAGATAGAACATTGTAATTCTGAGAGAGCGGAAAGCGTTAAAAAGGAGTTTTTTTCTACCTTTTCCAAACCAACATGTGGTAAAGCGCTCTGCTAATAACAATGTTAAAGCAAGGTTTTGTTTTCAGAGAGACTAGATCTAGATTTCCATGTTGTTGTTTTTTTTTGGTTTCTTTCTGTCTTAACTAATCAAAGATTGCAAAGTTCTTCTCATGTAGAAGTATTGCACGTGTGTGAGGTCGTGTAATATGTACATGAGACAAGGAGCGTTATGCCCGTGAATACCCTCGTTTGCGCTTCAATGTGTTTTTATCTCAACCCCCTCCTCCACAATATCTTTCTCTCTCATTCTCACTTTTTTTTCTCTCCCCCCCCCCCTCTCTCTCTCTCTCTCT